GTTAACTTACATCATGTATGAGACCAGCATGAATCCTACTATCTCTTAGTAGTTAAGTGTACTGCTCTAAGTTCATCCTTTTCTACTCGATGGTTGTTAAAAATGGAGCACATGAGAATATTTCATGTATTTGACCAACTTTGCCTTAATAGCACTGACCGTGTTTCGAAACCGTCACATTAGTACCGTGGAATTCAATTGCATTGTTGTAGGTTAAGGAGAAAAGTTAGTTGATGAACTTGTGATTCTTAGTTGATTGAGGTGGCTAAAACACGTGTTAAACACCCTAAGTCACTGTATATCCCGTTGTATGATTTTATGTGACAGTAACGTCTTTCACTCATGAAGTTGTTTGCTGATTTTCATACAGTTAATTTCAATATAATGGCTTTTCTGTTAACTTCACTCAGTATGAGCGGTATAGTTGAAGTGTTGTTTGTATCATATAGGCAAAGGTTTCATATGTTCCACTCTTGATCAACATTGTTGAATAGATTTTATGTCTTTCACCTAATAACTTTCACCCGTGGGCATCCTACATGAATTGTTTGAGTAGTTGGTGTCGACATTTCCAAAATCATTTCCTATTTCCATATTATATTCTTCTTGTCATGTTATTTTTTTTATTTGTCCGTCGGGACATAGGGCTTCAATAGCACTTCGCCATTTCACTCTGTTCTCTGCAATCTTTTTAACCTGGCTCCACGACTGCCCAGAAGCTTTCATTTTTTTCCTCGTATGATCTCCTCCATGTCACCCTCGGACACCCAACTCATCGTTTCCCTTTGGGTTCCACTCGAGGACCTGGGGCGTGATGTCTCCAAACGGTCTTCTCAATGTATGTCTAATCCATCTCCATTTTCTTCTGCATATTTATTAGGGGATAGGCCCTTGGTTGGTTGGTTCGTTACGTGACTAGAGTTCCTTGTGGCTTATTATTTCTGTCCGTCTGATCTTCAGTGTCGAGCATAGGTGGCAGCTGTTGATGAATGTCTGCAGTTTGTTGGAAATGCTTTTAGTAACGCCCCAACTCTTAGAACCATATAGAAGCACTGACTTGACGTTAGTGTTGAAAGTCCGGTTCTTGTCAAATACCCCTGTATAACTGCTTATGTTAAGTGATTGAATTGAACTACGGACTAAATCTTTGTGTATTCACAGCAACCCAGTTAGGTGACTGCATTTTAAAACAGATTAACTAAACATTAATCGCTAGTTAGACTGAATACCTAAATCAGTTTTTTTCTGTCAGCTGAACAGAAATAAAACTGTAATATCCTAGCGTTCCTTCTTAATTTAATTTATATTCTTGTGTATGTTATTGCCTTACTCTGCTTCTTTTGTGCTTCGTTCACTTCCATTAAACCCACATAAAGATTTTGCTAATGTATTCAAATATTACGGCGTGTGGGCAATTGATGAAAAACCAATGAAATTTTGTTGTTTTGCCCCAGTCGTTAGTCTTGCTTTATTTCAGTAGTCTTTTCGTGAGCTGAATTCGTCTTTCACACGCTCAGTAGTCCAAGTACTTGTTTCACTACCATATATTGGGATTTTCGAATCCTACCCCAACTATTTCAATCTGTTGATTATATATATATATATATATATATATATATATATATATATATATATATATATATATATATATATATATATAGTTTGATTTCTTATTTTCCCATTATCTCCTTTCTTTCTATCTTTTATCATTAGGCGAATGGGCATGGAACAGTGTTATTTTCTAAAAATGTTTTGAGTTTTGTAGAAAACTTGAATGTGAACAATCCACTTCGTACATTTGTCGAGTTGACAAACACATCAATTGGGGATGCTATAACTGATATCCTATTGGTTGAATATTCATTAGCTTGGTTGAATTGGTCACTTATCAATTGGTTTTCAATATATGAAGATTTACCATCGAAACAGCTGAAAGTTACTATTGCTAGACGTGATGTTATCCAAGTAACATGGGATGAAAGACGTATTACAAGTCCAGTTGAACTACAAGTTAGTGTTTTTATGCTGTTCACTATTACTACTCTCGTAATATATAAAACTCGGAAGCTTACACTGTTAGGGATATTTAATCTCAAACAGCTAACTTATAAAATGTATATATTTTCATTGTAAAATTTGAACCTCATTTTCGCGCCTTTCTCGTTCCATGCAATGTTACTTATTCTTACCGCAGTTTAAGATACTAAACGCTGATTGGGCTGTTTTACACTTTTAATATGATATTTTGTTTTCCCTGGTCAAGGCTCTTAGAAAAGTCTATAAAAGACCGATGTGCTTAGGTTTTTTTATGTCTCATTCCAAGGATTAATAGTATTTAAACTACTGAGTCACAGCTACTTCAGTTTAACATAACAGCACCTAGTTTTCTAGCATTATTTTAATGAACGGAATTACTTTACTGATTGTTGAGATGTAGGGTGGATTACGTAAACACTAGAGATAACGTGTGCCTCGACAAACACAGTAGCATATCACTGAAGATGATGTAAAGAATTAGTGGTTACAAAAGTACGTTGTGGTCTGCGCATAAACTCGGTCGATGAGTGGCAAGTCATCATCATCTGATATAACTGCTGTTGTTTGTATACAAAAGCTCTATGTGTCTCTCTTGGTGGTACAATTTACCTATATTTGAATCTAAGTTGTAATAAATGCAGGCAGCGTAAAGCTGTCGTTGTTCTTGACCGTCATTGCACGTTCTGAATAAACTTTTCAGTCCAGTAATAAAGAAAGGATTGCCAATGCGAACTCAGTCGTAGTGTGATATTAGTTAAAATATCTGATGTAATGCCCAACAACAGTAGAGTCAGACGCTGGTCCTGAAATGTTGTTGAATAGGTGCACAGGAATTATATTCTAATTAGAAGAGGTAGAATTTTTTGCAGCAGATAGTGGGATTTTACTTTGACTGTTTCGTAAGACAAAGCATTCAAGGAGGTTTACTACCCAACCTGCGTAAATTTATGAACAGCAAACGTTGCAGCCGTGAACAGCACATGTGATATCTGAATAACTTCTTACTTAAGTGAGAACTATCGGGCGATATCAGATAGTTTGGACAGACTGTAAGGAAAAGCAATGTAAGCCATTCATGGGTAGAAAGTCAGGATCCCTTACTACAAAGTTTATGACATTTCATCGCTCAAGTTTAACCGAGAATTCTTTTTTAAACTTTCATCATGACGATTCCTAATGAAGCTATGCTGTTACTTTGGAAGTAAGGCTGAAACATGTAACTATTGTGAGTAGCTATCAATAAGGACTTCACTCCAAATTCTAATCTGAAATTCAGTAGAACAGTATCTCCAGTAGTATTCATGTGATCGTATGTAACTGATATCCGCTAGAATGCTTCTGTTTCTTCTACATTCAAGAAGTTATATGTCTAACTACCTTACGATAACCTGTCTTACCCATTGATCTGGTTTAAGGTTGAACGTTACTCTAGTTTTTCATAATAGGGACCTGTATAACCTCAAGTCGAAATCCAAAAACTAATATCCATGGCTTAAAACTCATATACTTATTACGCAGCGGTTTACAAGATTGGTTTTATTTATTTAACTTACCGGACAGAAGTAGGCTCAGTACATTTTGACCTTTAACTCAACAGCTGTAATCTAACTGTTGACACTAGTGAATCAGTGCAATATGTATGACCATTTGTCAATAAATGTCATAGTTTTCACTTCCAAATACTTCCACTTATTGAAAAATTTGGAATACGAATTAATCAAATGAATAGATGGGGTTGTAAGATTTTTTGGGTGATTTCCGTTGGAAAATAAATTACTTGTGTTAACAAAGCCAAGAAATGCAAGCTTACCGATATTCTTCAACTGCTAATAACTAAACTGAAATATTAAAATGTAGTCATAGAAATTGAAAACACTGGTCTGTATGTAAGCTGAATGCTAGACATGCTCCTTGTTATTGTTATTAAACCTTGTTTACTATTATAATACAACTTCATGTGGTGTGTTAATGAATCATAAAAAGTTCTCTGGACACAAGTCATTTGATTTCAGTTTGGTATTCATCATGGACTGACATCAGCTGGAGAAACATTGGAAACCTGGATAGAAACCTGAACTGACAGAAGCAGGAGATATGAACCATTGGATTCCTATCTAATGACTCAATGGGAACGGGATGACCGCGGAACCTGAAGGTCCTCGGTTCGACTCTTGGTGAAGTCATGGGCACATACTGCTGCTACCTTGACGTGATGGTCGGGGTGGCATATCACAATGACCCAACAAGCTATACTGGTGGAACACTTGTTCCTTCGAGGTCCTACCATACCAGAAAGTCTGTTCGACAGTGGTTAGACGAAAAGCAGTTACCGTTATAGTGTAAATTGCTACACTATGATGGGGGTCTGAGGGCGAAGTCGTACTGCTCCTAGCTCGATGGCGTTTGACAGCAGTAAGGTGTTTCCCTTAGATGACCGACGGTGCAATGCTGATGCTGCCTTCTCAGTGGAAGGGGTGGTTGGAAAAGGTCGGCCCCAAAAATAACACACTCCACCATACCCCACGGTCTGCCGGACCGGCGGTGTTGGTTCATTTGTCGTTTTCCTTTCGACCATCCGGCCCCAAAAATACAAAAGTTCAAAATAATCATACACAAAAGACTACGTGTGACAGACCTCAAGCAGACGTCTGATGGGCTCTGTGGTCACACAAATCTCTTTCAGGTACCTTAAGAAGAAATAACCTTCCACGGTGTGGACAGCCCGGGAAGTGTCACAACTCTATCACCACTCAAGTTTCCTCAGACTGCTAACCACCTTCCCCATCATTACCTCCTAATCTTCCTTCACGTCTCTCAACTAACGACACACTACATCTTCTCCAATTTCTCCTAGCTCTGTAGCCTTCGACAACGATCTCAGTCCACAGAACAACATCCCTGGTCTCCTTAAACCACACTCCAAATTACATATTGGAGCCTTCAAAGTCCGCACCCTCCATCAAATTGGTCAACAGGCTTCGTTAGCAACTTGAGCCATGCATGTGTGCTGTGTTTGTGAGACACCCACACAGGACCCAAGTGCGGTTGTTCACCTGACCTCTCCTGACCAATCTGATGAATCCGCAAGGAAAATTCACCCTTCGAGTTTCTGCAGATTAGATGGCTAGCTCTCGTGGTCTTGCAGGTGTAGGCATAGCATTAAGCACTAGGGCAGAAAACTCACTACTAGACTCGATCCCAGTTGACAGTGGCCTCTGCGCTATGAGGCTGAATGGCACGGTAACAACTAAAAGGAATGGTGAGACTCGCCGTTGTCTCTTTGTAATCTCTGCTTACACACCCATTGACTGTAGTTCGGATGAAGTGAAGGAAGAGTTTTGCCGAAGACTATTTAGCCTTCTTTAGAAAGCCATAGGTACGGAAGTAATGGTTGTTGCAGGTGACTTCAATGCATAGGTGAGTAGACTGAGTGAGACAGAAAGGCACTTAGGTGACACTTTCGGAGTCCCGGCTGAACGAACAGACAACAGTGATTGCCTACTACAACTGTTCTCAGATAACCACCTACTTTTAGCCAGCACTAATTTCAGACATAAAGAAAGACACTGTCTGATCTGGCATCCACCGAGCTCAACTCAGCGATGGACACAGATACACCACATTGCTATTAGTCATCGGTGGAGAGGGTCGGTGGAATACTGCCGCTCTTTCTGAAGTACATGTTTGGATAGCGACCACATGTTGGTCCGATCGCATGTATAACTGCGTCTCAATGGACGTAGAAAAAATTTGGCAACAAAACCACCACGAATGTTGCTGGACAACGAAAACACCAAGGCTGTGCTCAGTGAGAAGTTGACTGGACAGACAGTTATCGGAACAGAAGACTATCACTCATCCAGAAGAAGCTCGATGCCATCTCCAGTCTGCTGTAAAAGCAGCACTGAAGACCGTAGTCGACTCAGAAATAGTAGCTAAACAGAGCCAGTGGATACCAGCAACTTCTCAACTGGTGGATGCACATGAACGCATTCCTGCCTGTACGCTCTGAGCACAATGTAGAGGGAGAGCAACTTAAAAGTAGATTGAGAAAAAGTTTACACAACGATCGCGAACAGTGGTGGACAGCGAAGGTTAAACATATAAGAAAGGCAGCGGCGATTGGTAATGGTAAACAGTTATTCAGACTTATTAAGGAAACTCGGGGAAAAGGTTAACAAACAACACTTAGTGAGGCTATAGTGGAGAAGGACGGATCTGCGATTCACTCGCAGAATAGACGACTCGTACGATGGGTAGGACACTTCGAGGAGCAGTTCAACTGGCCTCCAGTCACCATTGAGTTGTCCGCTATCCAGTCGGATCCTAAATAAGACATAGAGACGGGCCCCCAAACACTAGTAGAAGTTGAGAAAGCGGTAGGTAACCTGAAATGAGGAAAGTCGGAGAGACCAGACACACTAACTCCCGAGGCATACAAGGATGGTGGTAAGGTGCTCTTAGTCAGGTTAACTGGAGTGTTAACCAGTATATGGGAATCAAATACGATCCCCTCCGACTGGTCTAAGTCACTCATCATACCAGTCTTCAATAAAGGCGAGAAGTCCTCTTGTGATAACCACAGAGGAATCAGCCTGACGAATATAGTATCCAAAATCCTAGGTTCTATAATTCGTCGACGCCTGAGTGGAGCTCGGGAACAGCAAGCTCGAGAAAACCAGGCAGGCTTTAGACCTGGCCACGGGTGTATCGACCAAATATTCACACTCTGCCAGGTCCTGGAACATGGGCACGCTTACAGACGCCCAACAATAGCTGTATTTCTCGACCTGAAGGCAGCGGCATTCAACTCCGTTGATCGAGAAGTCTTATGGCAATGTCTGTCACTGAAAGATGTGCCTAGTAAGTACATCGCCTTATTGGTGGCTGTCTACTGTTGGAGCCTATGCTTAGATATTTGGGCAGCTATGCTCATGAGGTGATGTTTTTGATGTGTGCCTTGTGGGCGACGGGGACAAGCCGGTTGAGGTCTACGGGACACGAGTAACCAGTGGTGGGAGACTCTAGTTGATATGCTTGAGGACCGATGTCAGTTGCATAGATGTATACGCACATTATCGTCACCCTAACGTCGCTATACCGAATCTCACCGTTTTCTTATTTTTCTTTCCTCTCTTCTCGTACTTTTTATGTTTGATTGCGTTTTCTTATCTTTATCTTGCACTTCACTGCCTTTTCACTTGATGTTCATTCCCTACTACTGTCAGTTCATGATATAGCTCGACCCCCATCCAATACCTTTGTTGAGTAACTGTCGTCATGTTTGACTTGACTGACCCCGCTGATCACAAATTCTCTTTCGAACTTCTGGAATACCCCTTGAAGTTTGTCACCCGGTAACAATAGATTAAGTCGTTCCTTAGGCTTGTGGGGAGTTTATTGATTTCAGGTTGGTATTCATCATGGACTGACATCAGCTGGAGAAACATTGGTAACCTGAAAACACTGAACAGTTGTATCATCCTAGTATTTTAAATTAGTCTCTCTCTCTCCGACCCATTGGCTCAATGGTATCGTGCTGACCACGGAACCAAATGGTCCTTCGCTCGATCCCTTGTGTCCTATATTCACGCGTAACCATGTATTTATGTACGCAGTCATGTTTGTTGTGACATTACAAATTAATATCTCAGCCCACAAAAACCAAGTCATTCGAATGATCATAATTTTCAGTTTTTCTTATGGTAGTTGTGTTGAAACCAATGTGACCTTTACCTAAAAACCAGTTTTTATACTATATAACATGACCGTACTTCCTAATTTGCACGGTAACTTCCTTCGCCTATCTCATTCTAATAATAATTATTATTATTGTAATTATGATAGTAATCGCTTTATTCCAAACAATAAGTACGATACAGTATGGAATTATCTGCACGTAATTTTTAAATGAAGTCACTCCCAGAACAATATTTTCAGATAAAATGATTATTGCATCGTAATGATGTTAATAGTAATAATATTCCAGGCAATAGTGTTAAACTTCAAGCTAGTTTTAGACAAGCATTTGATCCGTAATAAAGAATCAAGAGAAACGCGAGCGTAAGTCCAATGGTGGCGGTTCATTCAATTAGTACAACCACCTGCAACTCAAGCCAGTTATCCGAGGCATAGAAATATAATGTAATTTCTGCGAACTGAAGAGTCCACTTTCATATAATGTGACGTAAGGCGACCTGCTTAAATCTTGGCCAGAAAAACATTTTCAACGGAATTTATTCCATCAAATTCTTCCCTTTTCGTTTGTTTTAATCTCTTAAATGTCTTCTGGACGCATCATGCACTCTCACACATTTTTAAAGTGTTTCCGAACTTTTGTTTCGCAAGCTAATAAACAAAGCAAAGGAAAAATATCACTTTAGATGGAAATGCATTTGTAGATACTCAAAAATACAGCACATCACTATTCCTAAGATACCTGTATGAGATTGTGAATTTCTGTACTGGCTGACTAACGTGTCACCACCAAAATTACACTCCATTTTAGGTTCATTTCCGAGTCGAGATCAGATGCTAGTGTGATAATGGCTGCTTGTTTCATATTTGTGCCTTATGATACTGTTATTAACACTATTCAGACGTAATAACTATTTATTTTAAAAATATGGAAAGCGAATTTGTTGAAATATTCCGTACAGAAAATTCCATATTGTATCATATATGTTTAGTATAAAGCAATTATTGTTATTTTAAAAATATGCAAGAGTAAATGATACATTCAGAGAACATATTTAAATGATTAAAACAAATTGAAAGGAAAAAGTTTGACATATATGTTAGGTGGAAATTTTAGGTAGCCCAGGGTTCAAGCAGGCCACCGTAATTTATCGATTTAATATTTGGGAATAGAATTTTCGGATGAACCTAAAGGAACTGTTGGATTTGCTTTGTAAACGTAACTTATCGTATAATATTGTAATCAAGACTTACATTGGGTGTGATCACTTGTGTTTTGCTTTTCATTATTTACAATGCACTTACATAGTATGTATAAAGTCATTCTATCAACCAGGCATTAGTTAAGCGGTGAAACCTATTAAATATCTCCAACCAACTAGTCGCGGCTCCACTGATATCAGAAAAGCAGCAGTAAGAAGGAATTAACGATGAATAGTTGGTTTATTTAAGCATCCATATCCTTCCATGATCGAACCTAAGACCTTTAGTTCTTATAATTGAGTCGTTATCATTCAGTTACTGTCAGAATTTAATAGTTGAATTTTCTAAAAACATCAATATTTATCGACTGAATGTGACTGTTTTTCATTTGGTGTCTGTTCTGAGTCATGTACAGTTCATAGTTTCCATAAAACTTTGAGTAATTCAGTTTTTCGAGTTGATTTTGTTATGAGTAGTAGGCTGTTATCATTGTCAGAATGATGTCATACAGTGACTGTCTATTAGTTTCTATATACTATGTTAAGAAGTTAAGACTCACTGACTGCGATCTTCGAGATGTTAGAAACAAATGACTAAAAACTGTAAGTGATATCACTTAAAATCAAACCCAACGGTTTGGATATATTAAATTTTAAACACCAGATCACAATACTATTGCTTTTAATTTATATGCTCCCCTTCCTATTTTCCCATTTTCTCCTACTCTACTATTGCGAAATGTTGAGACTTGAATGAATACACTTTTATTCTAGTCTTCTCAGTGTCATTTCCACACATTTCAGTTTCCTGTCTGTTGAGCGTATCCAACTACTGACTTCGGCTAGTTGATCATCCACATCAGCTGAAATAAGATAATCATTCATTTTTACTCTGTCTGTGTGTACTTTTTAGTAAATTTTCGGGTGTCAACAAGAAATTGAATCATTTCTACGTTGCAGATTTTTATCGATCTCATTCACTGTCTGATTGATTAGTGTACGATTTTTTTCATTTCAGTTGTGAACTAATCAACTAGGATGTTTTGTTAACATTTCATAGGTTGCAATTGATGAAGCTGTTAAACAGGCGGACAAATTGATTGGTAAAGTTGGGTTATCACGAGCATTTGTTCGCCATCAGGTACTGAAAATGCTATTCGGGTTTATGCAGAATCCTACACATATGAAGCAACTAATTGGTTGTCTGCAACAATTGCTGTATTGGCTTATCGACTAGCGGGTGGAGTGGGTCCTGAGCCTACTCAACCGAAACCTCTTTCCGCTTGTAATTAATAGGTTTTCAATTTTCGAAAGAATTTACAGTGATTCGTAATTTGGTTTTTAAAAAAACTAAAGATTTTCTGCGCTTTTATCTTTCTTCATTCTGACTTATTGATGTATTGATGTATTCAATTTTTTTCGGCTTATGTGATTTTCTTGATTCTCCTCTAGATCTTTTGGTTATTGAGTTCGAACGAAATACATCTTATAGTTGGTAACTTTCAATTTCTTTTATAAAGACGATTGTTTGATATATATATATATATATATATATATATATATATATATATATTCTGACTGCCATTGGAGGATTGTGTCACCCAAGAGATATGGTAAAACCTGTCTTTAGATAGCTTCCTATCTTGTAAACGCTACAGGGGGAATAGCTTTGGTCACCAACACTCTCATTTTAAGTAATGTTAGTACAGTGGATAATTCCAATTTATGAAAATATTGGTTTCAGGATTTGTATGTTGATTATTTCCAGGAGGTTGTGTGCAAATATGACAGCCGCCATAGAATTGGATGCAAGAGAATGAAATGCGACGTAGAACAAAACAGTCAGTATCTAAAGTGTGCTTCTGTGGGAAAATTATCTGAGGCAGAAAATAATTGATACACAAGTGCGTATTTCCTTATCACTTACTTTAGAAATTTGAGCTCCTAGTTATTGGAAAGCATACCCTGTGACCACATTGACTATGCTCTTTTTTATCTACAGAAGTCACAAATGTGTTTTATAGTTGTGAAACTCACTTTTGAAGTTACGTTTTTGAGATTAGTTCCGTTCATAGTCTACGGTCAAGTTTAGAGACTGCCCAACACTTCAACCCCTTCTGAAATTCACTAACTGTAGGATGCATAGCCTGTTTTGTAGAATTAATAACTCATTTTCGACGGTTGACATTCATAGAACAATTGAGATACAAAGTAAACTACTCATCAGTAAAACTAAGAAGTTAAGGAAAGCTTCACCTGTGACTAATATGCACCGGAAAAATGTTTCTTCAGTAGTAATGCACTTACAATAAGGGTTATAAACTGAAAACTAATTCACTCAATTTTTTTCATCTGTTTTTGCATTAATCCTAAAAATTTATTTTATAATTTCCTTTTTTCGATTATTTTAGATTGGATATTTCAATGTATAATTATTCGACAATTTGTTCACTTCTACTCAGAATACGTTCATGCATTATTGTACCTCAGTGTAGTGGGCGTTATTTACCTCCTGGTACACTTCATCGTCCATATCACGAACGTTTTGATGAGAACTGTGAACGAAGACCTCTGCCGCATCCAGAAACTTCCCGATTTCAAGGTACTTAGCTTGAGTTCAAGATTTTTGCTATATGAACCGACTCTATTAAAGGTCACCCTAACAACAACTCAAATATATAATTAGACTTCTTGATTTTATGGAATTCTACCTTTTCAGCCGAAATGAAAAAAGTCTAATTGACTGTTTCAGTGGTTGCTAGGGTAGTCTTAAGAGTTACTCATCATGTGCTACACATACTGTCTAAAATCACAGGTTGAATAGTTAGACTTTCATTTCATTTTGTAGCAGCATATTAACATTTTCACTGGAAGTAGATGAATTAAGTTGTAGTCATTAGAAGAGTTAAATGGTGATCATTTATACAATGTAAAATGCCTGTGATAGTTCTGGTGCAGTGGATTTTTTAAAGAAATTTAGTTAAGTTAACCTTCAATCTTCCATTCCAGTCAAGTCTATCAAGCACGTCTTTGTATTGCCTAAAAGAATGGTCCACCCTTATGTTCAACCATAGCATACAATACTCTTCAGTGATAGATCTATTTACATAATTCCGTTTTTGTGTGTGTTGGAATACCTGTTGAGAAAGGTTTCACAAATGACACTTCTAGTGATAGTCATGAAGGTCACTGCGTTATCAATTTTTGAAAAACATGAACTGTCTGAATAAAAGAGAAAACGAGGTGTACGAAGAAGATAATTTTCAGTTTGATGAACTCATTTTAAATAGTTGTACATTCGTAATTATGTCCAACCTCGCCTGGTTAACTAGTTCACTAGTTACTAGCCGGTCCTAAACCCGGATAAAGAGGGAAGGTTAGTCATAGGGCTACCAACCCTATCCCGTAAAACCAATCCAATCGCTAAAGAAACTTCAAAGCACGAAGAAGTTATAAAAAATAAAAAGGAGCTTATTCCTCTTTGGAATCGTAGAGACGAAATGACGCCGGTTGGTCAAAGTCTTCGGGAAGCCAATTAGTCGGGCCGATGTGTCTTCTCTCGATGAAAGCGAAGGTAAGAATAGGGGCATGGATGTCTGCACCATGTATGAATCTAGCAAGGCTACCCAGATTGCAAAGGAGATGAGAAGATTTAGCATTGAAGTGTTGTGAATCTGCGAGGGACCAGCAGATGGAATGGAAGTGGACTCTCCAAACTGTCAACTGGACAGTCAATAATCCACTCCGATATTACCACCCAGACGACAACTACAGGCACACTGGGTTCGAGAGTAGCTATCATGATGTCCCCAAGAGCAGCGAATTCTCTCATCCAGTGGGAACCAACCTCCTCCTACAGGATCAGGATCATGACAGCAAGACTCAGCTCAAAAAGAAGGAAGGTCACGATCATACAATGCTACGCTAAGGACCTACGTATAATGCGGATCAAGAGAAGAAGTAGGAGTTCTACTGACAACTGCAATGAGTACTGGACAAGACCACACGCCAGTTGGTGACATCAAAATTCATTCGGATGGGTGACATGAATGCCACACTGGAAGCGGACAACACAGGAAGATAACTCATCATGGGTCGAGAAGCACTCAGTGAAGTGATGAATGAGAATCGAGAACTATTTGCAGACTTCTGTGCATTTAATCACTTGGTGATTGAAGTCAGACAGTGTGTACAAACACAAGGATATTCATAAGGCGGTGATATGGATTTGATTTTACCAAACATCAGGATACACTCAGAATCAGATCGACTTCATTTCAATGTGAAGAAAGTAGAGATGCAGCCAACTGGACACAAGATCAGATCATGAAGAGGAGCAGATGTAGGATGGGACGACTCATCATCTAGTGCAAGGAACCTGCCTACCTACCTACCTTCAAAATCGAGTTGAAAGCCTTCAAAGAAGCTGGTTATGACAGACCACAGTTGAAGTTGAACATCTAGAACAGAATCTGAACAGAAGGACGAAACTACAAATGACATCTTCACGTCAGTCAGTCAGTCAGTCATCAGGAGAAAATGGGAGATATTGAGCAACATCTCTGAAGGATGGGGCGTGGAATAACACTGGAACTGTTTGAAAGAGATGTGGGAAGGAACCTGCATAACTGTGTTAGGAAGGGAGGAAAAAGAAGACGAGACAAGGAATTGATCTCGACGGAGACATGGAAGCTGATAGAGGAGGGAGAGGTAGAGGAAGAGGAAGAGGAAGATGGTGAAGCAGAAGATGAACTAGTGCAGTGCAGTGCAGTGCAGTGCAGGGCAGGGATGAACAACGAAAAGAGGAACTGAACATTGCCTATCAAACACTAGACTGGACAAAGAAGTGAAGAAGAGTGCGCGAAAAGGCAAAAGACACTTCTACGTCACATTAATAATAATAATTCACTTTATTCCAAACAATAAAGTGAACTATTATTATTATTGGCGTGGGAAGCAAAACAGGCTGGTGGTAGATGAGACCTGACATGATTATATCAAATAACCAGGTTACTTACTGTCTGGTAAGACATCAACGCTGATGAAACGAATGAAAGATAGTGAAGGAAAGCTGTTTAACAAAGAGGAGAAGCAGTGGCCTGATCACTTCAAAAAACCTAAATCGTTCATCACCTGTAGCTACAGAACTACCAGTGAACACAAGCCCTCCGACAAAAGCCAGAGTCCTGAACGCCGTAAAGTTGCTGAAATGCTGGAATGCATCAGGATCAGATGGCTTTTCACTAGAAGCACTTAAAACAGAAGCAGAGACTACAGCGAACATCCTTACACCACTACTGCAGAAGGTTTGGAAGGAAGGAAAGATACCTGTCGACTGACTGGAAGAAGGGCTACCTTATCAAACTCCCAAAGAATGGAGACCTAAATCTTTGCAAGAACTGGAGAGGAATCATGCTCCTGTCCACCCAAAGCAAGCAAAATATCATGTTGCATCATCATAGAGAGACTAGAAGATGCTTTGGATTCAGAATCTCGACCGGAACAGGCTGGCTGGATTCAAGAAGATTTAATCATGTGTGGATCAAATTACAATGCTGCGCATCATCTTAGAACAGAGTATAGAATAGCAGTAATCTGAAGCCAGTGTGGAGATCTTCTCCACTGCACTGCACTGCACTCATCATAAAGCGTGAACAAGATCCGGATTTTCAACACTAATTCATTCAAGTAAATCAGTGCTTCGGTGCGATGATTCAGAAACTTGGCGCGTTACGAAAACTACTTTCGACAAACTACAGACATTCATTAACAGCTGTCCACACTTGCTACTGAAGATCAGATGGCCAGAAAGAATAAGCAACAAAGAAATCTGGCAACAAACCAGCCAGGAACCTTTCGTCCAACAAATATGCAGGAGGAAGTGTAGATGGATAGTTTGAGATATACACTGAAATGACAGTTTGGGGACATCACGTGCGAGGCGCTCGAGTGGAACCCACAGGTGAGACGACGAGTTGGATGTCCCAACTGAGGGTGGCATGGAGGAGATGATGTGAGGGGGAAATGAAAGCTTGTGGGCAGTCGTGGAGCCAGGTTGAGAAGACTGGAGAGGATAGAGTGCAATGGAGGCGTACTACTGAAGCTGTATGTTGCACTAGGAACCCAAGGGGAAAATAATAGGGGCAGAAAGTTCGAGAAACGTCCCCAGTCGATGGTCAAAATTTATGAAGCGGTGAAGATAGGCATTAAAAAGAAGTCCAAAAAAATGTGAATAGCATGGGTAGTTCAGAAATGTTTGAAAAATTGGGGATCACAAACATGAAAAAACGAAGGGGAGGCTCTACAGTAGATAGATTTTCTTCAAAAGGCAAGATAGATATCAGAAAAACAAACCAAACCACAAATACGGTATAATGGCTTGAATGCTATGACTATGAAATTAAATTTTCTTATTTTGTTTGAACACAGCGTGAATGTGCTTCTTATGCACAGAGAGATCTTATCCTTATATCTTGAGACGAGCCACATATTCTAAATTCACTAGATGCTTGACGATAGTACTCGAGACAATCTCGTTTTCACTTGTTAGTAACTTAACTGGGTAGCAATCGCAAATGCTTTTGGCAAGTGAGCGCATAGTGCTATTGGTGTACTCAGCTTCACAAAATCAGGTGAATTTGTAGAAACACGCTAGCGAACCCTAGTGCTTCAAATTTTCTTTTACGTACTGACACATTACTTGCGAGCATGAAAGGATTATAACCCTTGCATCAAAAAATGTTTGCTCAATGATTTTGTCAAGCGTTTATACAGAATACCAGTCGCTATGCCACCCTTCTATATGGGGTTCTGTGGGAGGGTTTTTTTTAAAGGATTTTGAGCTGTACCGTAACCTTCTTCCTCTTCACATTTAGGCCTATAAATTTGGGTGGGTAACCATTTTATAAGAGTATCCCATAAATAGTTTCAGATTCTCGCCTAACTCCGTCAGACTTACAGATCCGTATGATCCCTTAAGAGAAGAAAATTATCAGATTTTTCTTCCTTTTCAAATATATCCCAGCTTTAGAACTTGGTTAGTTGCTCACTTAGTTTTGTTTCATATGCGTTGATTTTCAACTAAACCTGGTGGGTCTTTCTTCGTTGAAGCTTGATATCAAGACAATGGAAGGTCGATTTCGATACAGCTACTAGTGACTGAGGGATGGTTGTCGTTAAACCTCTAAGCAAAGCTTGTTTCATCCAGCTTATTGTCACAAAGAATGAAGTCGTCGTGCATGTGTCCTTCGGATACACGAAGTTCACTGAATAAAGTTGACCACAAATAATTTTTGGACTGTCTATGGGATTACATTGGTACTATTATAACTTTGGATAATGTAATTAGAAGACGTAGATTATCTGAAAAATGTGATGTATTAGCGCTATACATTTCGAACAATCTGATCACACATTTACTTGTTAAGGCATTATATATGAAAACTGGAAGTGGGGGAAGGACACATATGACATAAAGGAATTCAATAATAAGAAAGATAATGAGAGGAATAAAAGATAAGACTTGAAGACAATCTTGGTAATACGATAAAATAAGCATTACCAAGGTAGGCTTAATGTAAGGACAAACTGTTTTTGCACACACAATGGGGGGTTAAATTTATTTATGGCTAGCGCCTCAACAAACTTAAGTATACGCCCCTGACAGTTTCTGTACAAAATTGTAAAGGCTGTTTGATATCAATTCTGTGACTCTTATCAATGATATGTTTCGCAATGGATGATGATGGTTGTCTGCCATCTGCGCTTATCAATGTTTGTGAATCCAGCTGCTTTCGTAGCCACTTTGGAACATGTTCCCCTACCCTCAAGTGCATATCACGATTCGTCCTCCCTATGTATGTTTGTCCACACACACATGTAAATTTATAAACGCAGTGGGATGTGACACAATCGTTTATACAGCGTTGAGGTCTAGGTAGCAGCAGGTGTTTGGTCTTCTCAACTATGATAAGCTTAGCTGCATAGTACGTTTTGCTAACAGCAGACCTTAACCTTCGTCTTAATATTATGCTATTAGATTCTCCTCTGTATGGTAACGCGATGTAAACGCATTTCTTCGAAACAGAGTACAGATCAGGTTTGAATCCTCGCTGATTTTTGCAGCGGTTTATGAACTTCAATGGATATCCATTTTCCACTAATGTTTCCGTTAGTATTTTGATATCATCATCCATTGAGTCCTCCGTACAAATACGCTCGATCCTTTTAAATAGACAAGTTACCAAACCTCGCTTGTATTGGGTTGGACAAAAGCTATGGAAACTTAAATACTGACCTGTCCAAGTAGGTTTCCTGTAGATCGACCGTTTTATTGAACCATCATTTCTACGACTTAGGAGTATATCCAAGAATGGCAGACGGTTTTCTTTTTCTTCTTCACGTGTCAGGCTTATGTTGTTTTGTACGTTGTTAAGTCTTTCTAACAAACATGTCGCATCTTCATGCTTATCACATATCACGATTATATCATCAACATATCTTTTATAGAGAGTAACTTTATTGATGAGATCGCCGGTCAAGCCCTCAATGTGTGACATGTAAATATCAGCTAGCAATGGTCCTAAGGGACTTCCCATAGCCACACCATCTATTTGTCGAAAATGTTCACCTTCAAATGTGAAATGAACTTTATCAGTACACAATAATAACAGCTCTCTCAAACACGTTGAGGGGATAGGGAAAGAAGGATTACTGGAAGATATATGATCACAAAGAATGTCAATGGTTTTAATTAGGGGTACATTAGTAAATAAGGAGTTGACATCAAATGAATACAATCTCTTATCTTTGATATTAATATCACTGACATAATTAACAAGTTCAATAAAGTTACTCTCTATAAAAGATATGTTGATGATATAATCGTGATATGTGATAAGCATGAAGATGCGACATGTTTGTTAGCAACACTTAACAACGTACAAAACAACATAAGCCTGACACGTGAGGAAGAAAAAGAAAACCATCTGCCATTCTTGGATATACTCCTAAGTCGTAGAAATGATGGTTCAATAAAACGGTCAATCTACAGGAAACCTACTTGGACAGGTCAGTATTTAAGTTTCCATAGCTTTTATCCAACCCAATACAAGCGAGGTTTGGTAACTTGTCTATTTAAAAGGATCGAGCGTATTTGTACGGAGGACTCAATGGATGATGATATCAAAATACTAACGGAAACATTAGTGGAAAATAGATATCCATTGAAGTTCATAAACCGCTGCAAAAATCAGCGAGGATTCAAACCTGATCTGTACTCTGTTTCGAAGAAATGCGTTTACATCGCGTTACCATACAGAGGAGAATCTAATAGCATAATATTAAGACGAAGGTTAAGGTCTGCTGCTAGCAAAACGTACTATGCAGCTAAGCTTATCATAGTTGAGAAGACCAAACACCTGCTGCTACCTAGACCCCAACGCTGTATAAACGATTGTGTCACATCCCACTGCGTTTATAAATTTACATGTGTGTGTGGACAAACACACATAAGGAGGACGAATCGTGATATGCACTTGAGGGTAGGGGAACATGTTCCAAAGTGGCTACGAAAGCAGCTGGATTCACAAACATTGATAAGCGCAGATGGCAGACAACCATCATCATCCATTGAGAAATATATCATTGATAAGAGTCACAGAATTGATATCAAACAGCCTTTACAATTTTGTACAGAAACTGTCAGGGACGTATACTTAAGTTTGTTGAGGCGCTAGCCATAAATAAATTTAACCCCCCATTGTGTGTGCAAAAACAGTTTGTCCTTACATTAAGCCTACCTTGGTAATGCTTATTTTATCGTATCACCAAGATTGTCTTCAAGTCTTATCTTTTATTCCTCTCATTATCTTTCTTATTATTGAATTCCTTTATGTCATATGTGTTCTTCCCCCACTTCCAGTTTTCATATATAATGCCTTAACAAGTAAATGTGTGATCAGATTGTTCGAAATGTATAGCGCTAATACATCACATTTTTCAGATAATCTACGTCTTCTAATTACACTATCCAATTTCATAAAAGGGACTAATTGTTTCAAATTTTAATAACTTTACTCTTATTGCCATTAACATTATTGTAATTGTTATCACTATTTAGAAGTCTCTGCTATAGATCTGAAGCGAAAGGCAAAGGTTGCAGACAAGAAACCATTTCATATGATTTGTGAACCTGGTCGAGTTTATTGGTGGTGTTCTTGTGGTCACAGTAAACGCCAACCATTCTGTGATGGACACCATATTCGTATATTAGGATTAAGTTCAACTTTTAGAATTAATAAGCCACAGTTCAAACCAGTTCGCTTGGTTTACAAACAGTAAGTTAATTAATTTTTTCTAAATTAATACTTTTTAGCACCTTCTGTGTAAACTTTTAAAATGTAGTTGACACTTTTCTGACTTAATTTATTGGGTGACATTGATTCACTGAAGTTATCATGTGGTCTCCTCTTATGAGTCCTTTAGAATATGTACCACACCGATAGATCGATAGATATGTTGGTCGGTAGTAGGATCTAGGACAAAAATCCTTCCTTTCTACTACCTGTCGTCCAGAAGATTTTAAGGATGAACGCCAAGGAATATTGATGTGACTAACTGCTATAATCGATGTGATAAACGCGTTAGTTTGTTCCTTCAAACTTCCACTGATCGTTTATTATTCAGGATTTTGAGAAAGGACACATCTGCTTGTGAGTGATTTGCAGGTAAGCTGCTGTGGGGAAAACTATTTATAAGAATCCAAATAAGTAGTATATCTAGCAGCATCGACAGTGATAACGATTCACTGGTGAGGAATCCGACTTATGGAATATACTATTGAATAGAAGTACCAAAGGTTAACTCAGTGCGGAATTAGGTGCAGGACAAGTAATTGTCTACAAATGAATATGATGTCATAAGTTTTAGTATTTTTACCACTAACAGTTGTATTTTCTCAGTAAACGGTATCTGACGCCCCATTAACTCTGAATCTAATAATTATTTATCATCTATCTGGGGCTTAAAATGTGCTAATTTAGTAAGATTACAGGAGTGTATGGTCTGGTCACGAGGAGATCTGCCGCATCTCTTCCCATTTTGATTCTAGCTAACTAGCCTACTTAAGTGCTCGAAATAATTGACATAGTTTTTGGTCTGCTGATGTTATCTGCTTTATTTATTCGAGAGGCTCTATGGCAGTGTTATCATAAATATGATACATGAACAGATACGTCTGTTAAGGAGCTTATAGAAAGTTATCTCCTGAGGTGAACCAAGTAACTGGGTTTGTTAAGGCTGTCCACTATGGTTGGATAGTCGATAGCTGCTACTTTGATTTGGTTATCGAGCTCGCATATCACAATGACCTAACGAGCTATACCGGTTGAACCCTCGTGGTCCTACCATACGTCAAAGGTCAGTTAGATAGGTGCAAAACAAAAGGCAGTTACCGTTATAGCGTAAATTGCTATGCTATGATGTGGGGGTCTGTTGACGAAGTCGTAGATGACCTGCCGAACTATCCTGATGCTGCCTTTTCAGTGTGAAAAGAGGAGGCTTGCATAAGGTCGATCCTGAAAATTGTGCTCCTTTCTAACTTGCGGTCTTCTAATTTTCACGGATTGGGTATGTAGCTGTATTCGAAACGAAGAAACTTAAATCTTTAAATTCCGAAGTAGCCGTTTTTGACCGGCGTCAAGCAGATGTCCTTTGGGCTTTGTGGTCATGCACCAGTATTAGTAATCCAACTTCCTTTTTCGAGGTAACCCTCCACTCTACGGAAAGTATCAACCGCCCTCTTAACTCTGTCAGCACTCAAGTTCCTTCAGATCTTTATTAACCTTTCCTGTCCACCATGCTCATATTGATCGTTTCAGTGATTGATTCCCAGTGTGGAATTCATATGATTCACTTAGGGTACGTGAAAATTGAATCTTATCAGTTGGAGAAACAGTAAATTTATTTTCAATGGATCTAAGAGATAATTGCTAATTGTTAGTTGTAAATAGTGCTAATTATGAACCATTCGTCGTGGTGATCACGATATTATTAACTTATTAAATACCTATTTTCTTTAGTTATCTAAAATGGCTAGTCACACGTGTGAATTCAACCGAATCATCCATATCACAGAAGGGAGATTATCTAGATATTTACGTGCATATCATACTAATTTCTAGTCTAGAGACATGATATTTAACGTTAGTGAGGGAATGTCTAAAGACATAACAAGTGGATCAGCAGAGATTCTTTTTGGCAATGTTTTATGCTACGCTCTAGGAATCTATATGTAATTTTATGCTGAGAATGTACAGTTCGTTTTATTTGTGAAATCAGTTTGTTGATCATGGCAACCAAAAAAGTTATACACATAAAATCGAAGTATCATTTTCATCCTAAAATAATCGAAATTTTTATGAACGTTAAGAAGTGATCAAAGGATACAGTAACAAGCGAAATTAAAATGTGGTAACCTAAAGATGTAGAGTTACTGAAATTAGTTAGTATTGCTCAAAATATCATAGATATTTAGCACAGATGATTAAGTTTGAATAGCAAGTTGAGTAACACGACATTTGATGAATGAATTGTTATCAAGGTGAGTATATTAACAAGGAGTAGTTAATAATATGTAAGAAATGAATGGAACGCAAGATTTAGAAGGAATGCGTTCTGAAACGTTTAAGATGGAGACTATGAAACAGCAAGGGTGTGACGAGTCTTTTTTGTATTCAAAGCTGTAGCTTTACTATTTGAATTGGTAAAGCTTCAGTAATACCAAAGAGATGAATGAGCACTGACTTAAGTAAGTTTCGTTTCCCTGTATATCCACTCCGATAAAGTGGAGTTTTTTGATTGGATGATCAGTATCAACAAGGTGTTTCATTATTGCACTTCTGGATTCGCTACTACTTCTTTTTAGCCACATAGGATAGCGTACTGAAACACGCGTCGAACCACCGATATATCCAGCTCTACAGGAGCAAGTGAACTTATATATACACATAGAGGTAGCTAGATGCGTGATCATGTTTTTCAGGTTGTTGCAAAGTTAAGAGCGACTAAAGAACACTACCTCCTAAGTTGCAGCAAAAAAAGGCTCTCTCCAGGGAACTCGAAATTCTATTTAGGACGTCAGCAGCGAGATCACCTTTCAAGTCCATATTCATTTATATGCAGCATTTTTTGATACGAAAATAGAGTCATGTCTTGGTTTAGAACTAATGACGAAGACTGATGGATTTTGGAAAGATTAATTCACAGAAAGCCCACATAAAATGGACAACTGAAAAATTTCTAGTTTGATTTCCACTGATCGGAAGCGAAATTTAATTATACTTCTTGCTACTCGCATCCAACTCATTTGCATCCCAGATTCTATAGACGAGGACATAACCATTCTAAGAAAAATTCTGATGGAAAACGGTATCCACTTTAGTTTGTGGATAAAGGCGTCAAGCCAAAACCCTCAAGACAGCTTATTCCTATGAAGCCCAGTGTTTTATGGAGTCTCCAGTAAGCATGAAGTTTCTGAATCAAAGCATTTGTAAGAAACGAGTGTGTTGTTGGAGTGAGACAGTTTTTGTTCATTTAATACCCCTCTGTGGTTATTCATTTTATATTAACTAACACTGAAAATCGTTTGAGCTATCAGTTACCTACAGTGTTGTTTTGCTGTTTCCTCTTTGTTTTAGATTAAGTGAAGTATGGTTCTGTACTTGTAAGCGTACTTCAGAGCCACCCTACTGTGATGGAAGTCATAACTGTGAAGAAGTACAGTCTCAAGCAAAAAACTAACCTGCATTCTCTTCAGTAATCAATTAACCAGTGTATAGGAAACTAATCTGTACTTATCACTTTCAGTCACATAAATTTTTGGAATATAGAAAATTTTGTGTTCAGATGGCTTTTTATCTAACTGAAATCATCGCATTATGATATCGGTGTGTTAACTCGATTATTTAGCGTGGGTATATAGTAGATTTACTTAGTTCTCAATATATGATGTTTCAAGCATTTTTGTATCTTTCTTTCTGTGAGCCTTCTTTATACTCAGCTTTAAAGTAGGACTAGCTATTTATGTTTGTCTAATCACTGTTGATTACTTTAGTCAGTTGATGTGTAAAATGATAGTCAACCATAAAATATTGCTGATTTGCAAATAAAGCTTATATTTAGCGTTTCTTATCTCGATAGCACATGCTAAGTAATAATGCATCTGATATTCAGCCTGTCATGGATTTGATTTTCGATTCTTCAAATCTTTAGTCATAAATTCCCTCAACGTCTGGAAGATTATAAACCTGTTATAAGAGAAGTGTGATAGTTTCTTAGGTTTTCATAGATGATGGTCGGTTAGATAATGTTGTGAGTAGCTTTAGTCTTTTAGAAATCCTCACATTTTGGTTTTCACACCAAATGAAAACATTTATATTTTTAGACAATCAGGATGATTTGTGAAAATTATTGAGAAAATTAAATGAAAGGTAATCAGATCAATAATAATTGATATGCTTTACACAAGAGGTGGTTCTTGTACCTCGATGGCCTAGTGAATAATGCTTTATCGTTTGAAGCAATGGGTGCGGAATTTGAGTTTGGTGGGAACAGTATCACCCACAGTGCAGTGATATCCAACTGGCGAGTCAAATATAGCACGAAAGGCGCATTCTGGATTCCACTGCTCCACCAAGTAAATCACAACATACTGAAGAATCAAGCAATATCAAGGTTTTCACGTGGGAGTCCATATGCCAACAGCGGTCGATTAATTCGATCCAGTATAACAATAGGAAGTTACAAGTACCAATAATTAATGGCATCAAAGTTCATTGCACTTCATTTCGCCTTTTGAATTAAAGAACAAATTGCTGAAAGTCATCCAGTCTGTTGTTCATTTAATTGAAAATGTCATTATTAATCTCGAATACGTATTGACTCACTGTATGTTTATCAAAGTAGACAAAGACTTGTGAGAGAATTAACAATATTTAGATAATGGCCAGAGCAAATATTCATGCTTAAGAAAACGTCGAAGAGTGAATACATCTGCGCCATTGTGACTGATTTTCACCCATGTCACCAAGACTTCTCGAACATTGATTCCTATCGTATTGAGGGTGCCAGACAGGTAATCTACATCTCCTAACATGGCTCAGATCAGCAGCAATAAAACCTCATGGAATGGTGCTACATCTTGTTCTGACTACTCTGAACCCTCTTCCAACATAATTCAGCTTCCCCTGCACGGTAGGTTGAGATAGGCAGTGATTAGGGATGAGTAGTACATATTCAAGCCATCTCAGTCGACTAAGGTTAACAGCCTCATCAATCGACTTGTCTGTCTTGCCTATTACCCTTTGCTTGACCTCAACATTGCTCATACGGTGATTCCACCAAACGCTAGCAATGCTACAAAGATATCTGTAATCAAAACTGTATAATTGCTTCATTTCTTCGACTTCTAACCACTATGTTTCACAGTCGTACAACAGAACGGACTGTATAGGTGTATACTCGTCCCTTGATAGACAGTTGGATATATTGCCAGTTGATGCTGCAGATGACGCCACTTGGCAAATACCAAATAAGCCTAGTGTATCCGAGCTGAGATTTTGGCAGCAACCAGTCTGTTTAGGCTGATGCCACTCCCAAGTGAAGTGGTCGACACTTCACACTACTTCACTCCGTATCATTTAACTTGCACTAGACAACAGGAAACATACATAACCCCGTACTAACGCGGGATGAGAGTCCTAGCTGGTACTCCAGAAAGAGCGGCAATCCTTCACCGATCCTCTTCAACTATGGTTTATAGCAACACGAGCTGTCTGTGTTCATCGTTAGCTTGATGTCGTCGGACGCCATGTGAGGTAGTGTCTCTCTGTATGCTTAAAGTTAGTGCTGGTCGGAAACACGTGACTGTCAGAACCAAATTGAAAAAAGATCACCGTTGTCAGTTCGTTGCTTGGGATTCCGTAAAAACGTACCAGATGCCCTTCCGACTGGCTCAATTTACCTTTCCTACATGAGCGTTAAAGTCGCCTGCCATTATGGCTACATCTGAACGTTTTGCTTTCTTTGGCGAAATCGACAACTTGTTATGCAGTTCATCTTTTCATCATCAGAACTGCAATCGGCGGGTGCGTAGGCAATTAAGTTTCTCTTAGTTTCACTATCCTCCTTTTTTGTTACAGATCCATTCAGCCAAGCTGTACATAGGTGGCTGTTAACAGGTATCCACTCGAGAAGTTCACTTTCTGCCTTACAACTCGATGCTATGTCTACAGTAGCGAGTCCACGAGAGCTAGCCTCTGAGTCTCAGGACACTGTGTGGGGAACTTTGAAAACACAGCACTGGTCAGGTCGGAGCAATTTAGTGATCACACTTGGATCCTGTAAGCGTGGGTTAGAGACACGGCATACTAACATGCCTCGAGACCCCATAGTTCTTGCAAGTGACTCTTGCTGTCTGGTTTGGTATAGAGTTCGGACGTTGACAGCTACATGGGATGGGTGGCGGGGTCTCAGGAGACTAAGAATGACTTTCCGATGCCTTTGATCGTTGGAAGTGGTTAAGTAGGGCGTAATAGGCTTTATATTAGTATCAGGAGGTGAATGCAGACTAGGATAGGTTTTGTGTACTACTGAAAGCATGCTGGTGGTTGACATTTCCTGGCTGCCTACACCGTGTAAGACTAGTTCTTGGGTACCTGAAAGAGAAAATTGATTTGTGTGACCTCAGACGCCATCGGGCATTTGCTTGGAGTCAGTCACACTGGGCGTTTTCACAAGCTTTAGATTTTTCTGTAGGTCAAACTGGTCCCCGTATGGTTGCTATGAGAAGACTTCTCTCCCTTCTTGCAGACTGGAATGACCTTTGAAGTATATCAGTCAGATGAAACTACCTCTAATTACGATAGCCAACCTATTACCTCCGTTATTCTACATAGTAATTTCCTACGCCTATCCTTAAAAGCTTCAGATGCCAAACAATTAGTTCCCCCTTCCATATATCGTTTCACGGTCTCATCGTTTTTGGCGATGGCTTCACTTGCTATCGTCTTCTTCCTGCCAGTATCCTGAACAAGCTGATATAATTGCCGAGTATTCCCATCTTTCTCCCTCACGTTTATTGTGTGACTTAATGCTTGAGGTGCGTCCACTCCTTTTTAGTGGTCAGAGCCAGTAGGAAGGAGTCTTCTTGTATCAGTCAGTTCGGATGACATCACGGAAGTCTACTGACGTTCGTTAACCTCTGAATTTGTGTTGCCACTGTTTCTACTGCTATTTATACGTCAGACCAGGTATCACGATAGGTCTCCTCAGGATGACCATTGTCACGTTCAGATAAATGTCTACCTACTTTATCAAAAGATACCCACTTGACGTTCTCATCCACCAATCGAGCAAACCCAGGCTTCACTAATGCCTGTTTCCTGTACCTGGTAACGTGAAAACATGCTTGTTAACGTACTAACGTGTGATTGCTGTCCAAACAGTAACTTCAGAAAGCGCGACAACCCCCACCAATCAACTTCAATAATGCCTTATACCATTGTGATCTGTGTCCATTGCTGCTTTGATGTTGTCAAACAACAAGTGAGAGAACGTTCTTCCTTATGCTTGGAGTTAGTACTGGTCAGAAACAAGTGATTGTCGGCACAAAGTTTCAGGAGACGATCACTGTTGTTGATTTGTTGTCCTGGGTTACTGAAGATGGCCTCTCGACTGACGCAGCCCTCTACTTGGGTGTTGAAGTCACCTGCTGCTATAGGCATGTCTGGGCGTTTCGTTCTATGTAGGAAAACTAATAGCTTTTGCATCATACAAAATGCGATAGGTTAGTGCATAGCGGGAGATTACTATTTTCATACTGAATTTAGATCTGATGATGTTGTCTAGAAAGACGATAAAGGCTCCATAATTAAACAACCCAGCTCAGAGAACACAATACAGCCAAAACAATCCACGTGAGCTACAAATATTCTCCCCTACTTCAACTCAAATATAGATTGACATAAAGTATATCCAATGACCGTATGCAGTGGCATGAAGCATAAGCCCAAAGAGATGGAACAGGCTGAAGGAATAAATGGACTGATAAAGGAAACTGGGCTGAGAAATTCAGTGGGAAGTGAGCCCATAGCGGAAATGGATGTGTATTGAAATCACGCAAAAAGATGACTGTAACGTTGGAGAGAAACTGAGAAGGCTACGAGTGACCTTAAACAAAGAAGAGTAGCAGGTTCTGATGCTCTTGCTCCAAATATTTTTTAAAAAAAAACAGTGATTGAGGATTATTATTTGGAATAACTGAAGTGTTAGTTAGCATGTAAGAGTAAGATATGATATCTTCTAACTAGTATCCATGTTTGTATGTTCAAGAAGGGGGAGAACCACCTGTATGATAACTACAGGGTAATCAGTCTGGTGAACATGGTGTTGAAGATCATAGCTTCTATAGTCCCTGAACATCAAAATGAAACTAAGGAAAAGAAAACCAAAGCAGGTTTCAGACGCGGTCATGGTGTGGAGATAAAGTCTTCGCACTTTATCAGATCTTGGCCTAGAGGCTCACTTACTGGTGCCCGACACTAGCGGTATTTCTTGACCTGGAGGTGGCATTCGATCCAATGGTTTCGTAACACTGTCTTCAACAGAAAAGGGTTTGGATAGATTGCACCACTGTTAAAAGCAGTGTTTGAACATCCGTGGATATGTTAGTCTACAGTGAGGTATGAGGTGAGGTGTGCATGTGTTGTCCGTCAGGAATGTTCACTCTTATTTCATTTCAT